AACAGATAGTATGTGCAGGACGCATAGTATATGCAGGATGCATAATTTGCCAGAGACGGATAGTACATGAACGACGCCTTCTGAGTCAGAGACGGAGAGTGTATGCACGGTACATAGTGTGTCGTAAGAAGATTGCACGAGGCGTACTTTATGTGGGACTCATAATTTGTCAGATACGTATAGTGTATGCACGACGCATAGTGTGTCGTAACAAGAAAGAACGAAGTATAGTGTGTGCAGGCTGCACAAACTGTCAGAGAGGGATATTGTATCCACGACGCCTTGAGTGTCAAAGACGGATAGTGTATGCACGACGCATAGTATATGCAAGAAGACGCATTATGTATCATAGACGGATAGTGTATGCTCGACGACGCATAGTTTGTCGTAACAATAATGCACGTCGTATAATGTACACTTAACCCATAATTTGTCAGAGACGGATAGTGTATGTACGATGCATTTTGTGTCGTAACAGGAACGCACGACGCATAGTGTATGCAGGCTGCACAAACTATCAGAGAGGGATATTGTATCCACGACGCCTTGAGTGTAAATGACGGATAGTGTATGCACGACGCAGAACTTGTGCACGACTCAATGTGTGCCAGAGACGCATAGTGTATGCGCGACACATAGTGTATGCACGACGACGCATTATGTGCCATAGAATGATAGTGTATGCTCGACGACGCATAGCTTGTCGTTACAATCGTATAATGTACGCTTAACCCATAATCTGTCAGAGACGGATAGTGTATGCACGACGCGCCTACCGTGTCAGAGACGGATAGTGTTGCACGATGCATAGTGTATGCACGACACATTTTCCGGCAGAGACGGTTACTGAATGCTCGACGCAAAGTGTGTCGTAACAAGAATGCTCGATGAATAGTGTATGCAGAACGCATATTTTGTCAGATACGGATAGTGTATGCACGACGCGCCTTCCGTGTCAGAGACGGATAGTGTATGCATGACACATTTTCGGGCAGAGACGGTTATTGAAGGCTCGACGCAAAGTGTGTCGTAACAAGAACGCACGACGCATAGTGTATGCAGGACGCACAAACTGTCAGAGAGGTATATTGTATCCACGACGCCTTGTGTGGATAGTGTATGCACGATGCATAGTGTATGCACGACGCATTGTGTGTCAGAGACGGATAGTGTATGCACGACGCACAGTGTATGCACGACATATTTTCTGCCTGAGAAGGTTAGTGAGTGCTCGAAGAAAAACGTATCGTAACAAGAATGCACGACGCTTAGTGTATGCAGTATGCATAATTTGTCAGAGAGTGATAGTGTATGCACGACGAGCCTTCTGTGTCAGAGACAGATAGTGTATGCTCAATGCCCAGTGTTTGCGCGACACATTGTGTGTGAGAGATGGATAGTGTATGCACGATGCTTAGTGTTTGCACGACGCATTGCGTGTCAGAAACGGAAAGTATGTGCAGGACACTTAGTATATGCAGGACGCATATTTTACCAGAGACGGATAGCGCATGAACTACGCCTTGTGAGTCAGAGACGGAGAGTGTATGAACGACACGTAGTGTGTCGTAATAAGATTGCACGAGGCGTAGTGTATGTAGGACTCGAAATTTCTCAGAGACGTATATGCACGACGAATAGTGTGTCGTAACAAGAATGCACGACGTATAGTGTATGCAGAACGCAAAATTTGTCAGAGACTGATAGTGTATGCACGACGAGCCTTCCGTGTCAGAGACGGATAGTGTATGCTCAATGCATAGTGTTTGCACGACGCATTGTGTATCAGAGACGGATTGTGTATGCATGATGCATAGTATATGCACGACGCATTGTGTGTCAGAGACGGATAGTGTATGCACGACATATTTTCTGCCTGAGAAGGTTAGTGAGTGCTCGAAGAAAAACGTATCGTAACAAGAATGCACGACGCTTAGTGTATGCAGTATGCATAATTTGTCAGAGAGTGATAGTGTATGCACGACGAGCCTTCTGTGTCAGAGACAGATAGTGTATGCTCAATGTCCAGTGTTTGCGCGACACATTGTGTGTGAGAGATGGATAGTGTATGCACGATGCTTAGTGTTTGCACGACGCATTGCGTGTCAGAAACGGAAAGTATGTGCAGGACACTTAGTATATGCAGGACGCATATTTTACCAGAGACGGATAGTGCATGAACTACGCCTTGTGAGTCAGAGACGGAGAGTGTATGAACGACACGTAGTGTGTCGTAATAAGATTGCACGAGGCGTAGTATATGTAGGACTCGAAATTTCTCAGAGACGTATATGCACGACGAATAGTGTGTCGTAACAAGAATGCACGACGTATAGTGTATGCAGAACGCAAAATTTGTCAGAGACTGATAGTTTATGCACGACGAGCCTTCCGTGTCAGAGACGGATAGTGTATGCTCAATGCATAGTGTTTGCACGACGCATTGTGTATCAGAGACGGATTGTGTATGCATGATGCATAGTATATGCATGACGCATTGTGTGTTAGAGACGGATAGTGTATGCACGACGCATAGTGTATGCACGACACATTTTCTGCCAGAGACAGTATGTGATGGGAATGATAGACGCAAAGTGTATCGTAACGAGAATGCACAATGAATAGTGTATGCACTATTCATAGTGCATGAACGACACCTTAGAGTCAGAGACGGAGAGTGTACGCACGACACTTAGTGTGTCGTAACAAGATTGCACGAGGCGTAGTGTATGTAGGACTCGAAATTTGTCAGAGACGGATATGCACGACGCATAATGTGTCGTAACAAGAATGCACGACGTATAGTGTATGCAGAACGCAAAATTTGTCCAGATACGGATAGTGTATGTACGATGCATTTTGTGTCGTAACAGTAACGCACGACGAATAGTGTATGTAGGCTGCACAAACTGTCAGAGAGGGATATTGTATCCACGACACCTTGAGTGTCACAGATGGATAGTGTATGCACGACGCATAACTTGTGCACGACTCATTGTGTGCCAGAGACTGATAGTGTATGCACGACTCATTGTTTATGCACGACGACGCAATATGTGCCATAGATGGATAGTGTAAGCTCGACGATACATAGTTTTTCGTAAGAACAATGCACGTCGTATAATGTACGCTTAACCCATAATTTTTTCAGAGACAGATAGCGTATACACGACTAGCCTTCCGTGTCAGAGACGGATACTGTATGCACGATGCATAGTGTATGCACGACACTTTTTCCGGCAGAAACGGTTATTGAATGCTCGACGCATAGTGTGTCGTAACAAGAATGCTCGTCGAATAGTCTATGCAGGACGCATTTTTTGTCAGATACAGATAGTGTATGTACGATGCACTCTGTGTCGTAATAGGAACGCACGACGCATAGTTTATGCAGCACGTACAAACTGTCAGAGAGGGACATTGTATCCACGACGCCTTGTGCGGATAGCGTATGCACGACGCATTGTGTGTCAGAGACAGATAGTGTTAGCACGACGCACAGTGTATGCGCGACACATTTTCTGCCTTAGACGGTTAGTGAGTGCTCGAAGGAAAGTGAATCATATCAAGAATGCACGACGCATAGTGTATGCAATATGCAGGACGCATACTTTGTCAGAGACGGATAGTGTAAGCACGATGCATAGTGTATGCACGACGCATTGTGTGTCAGAGACGGATATTGTATGCACGATGCAAAGTGTACGCACGACCCTTTTAGACAAGAGACGGATATTGTACGAACGATGCATTTTGCATCGTAACAAGAAAATTCACGACGCATAGTGTATGCAGGACGCACAATTTTGAGAGACGGAGATTGTATGCACGACGTCTTTTGTGTCAGAGACGGATAGAGTATGCACAACGCATAGTGTTTGCACTACGCATTAAGTTCTAAAGACAGATAGTGTATGCTCAACGCATAGTGTGTCTTAACAAGAGTGCACGACGCTTTGTGTATGTAGGACTCATAATTTGTCAGAGTCGGATAGTGTATGCACGACGCGTAGTGTGTCGTTACAAGAATTCACGACGCATAGCGTATATAGGACTCATAATTTGTCAGAGACGGATAGTGTATGCACGACGCGTAGTTTGTCGTTACAAGATTGCACGACGCTTTGTGTATGCAGGACACATATTTTTGTCAGAGACGGATAGTGTATGCACGACGCATAGTATATGCACGACGCATTGTGTGTCAGAGACGGATAGTTCATGTACGACGCGTAGTGTGTCGTAACAGAAATGCTCGACGCGTAGTGTCAGAGGGAAAAACTGGAAATGCTTGCTACATGTAACAAGAAGTGGTAATCAAAAGTTATATGCAGCCAAAATTGGTCGAAAAATACGACTTTGCCCTTAGTAGCCATTGAAAGTTAAGAATGACTATCTTTTGTTAGATACATTGTGAAGAAATAACAAAAATGTTTTGGTTTCTGAGTCTGTAACAAGGAAGCCAATACATCTGCAGCATGGCTGTTCAATAAGTTTTTTTCACGGCGTCCTTAAATTTGGTGAATAGATGGGTCAAAAATCTGCGTTAAGTAGATAAACCTGGGAAACTTTTGTTTTAGGCGTTGAAGGCTGGATGTTTGAGCAGAGGGGGGGGGGGGGGGCTGAACTCTATGGTTACTGTCCCAAATTTAATTTGGTTTAATTTTAGATGGCATATATTTTTAGTTCGGAAAATTATTGTTCAAATTAATTTTCAGCTTTTCCAAGTAAAAAATTGAAAAAAACTTTGAAAAAGTCAACATCCGTTTTTACACTGTACCACAGCACAGTGCTTCGCCACAGTGCTTTGTTTGACAAATGTTTTTGTCTGGCAATTTTTGAAAATCTTGGAGGCCAACTTATAAATTACTTTTGCGAATCTTTTGGGCATGATCACTCCTGTATATACAATGTTTGAAGGGGACATGGGAGTTTAAAAACCTCAGAACTTTGGGTTAAATTTTGGTGAAAACGTTCGAAAAAAATGTAGGAATCTCGGAGATTTTATTGCATAACAATAAATTGTTTTTCACAGTTGAGCAGCATCATATTCAGTTTTTTAAAGATTGACTTTTGCCAAACGTCAAGCTCAATTGGGCGAACAGTTGTTAAGAAGCACGGTGTCTTGAGAGTTAGTTACTACTGGTGGCAAGATCTACTCTGGTAGTGTCTGGTGATCAATGACTCATCAACCGTGTTGTCTCTGGGTACAGTCACGTGGTGCCATGGCATGGTTGTCACGTGGTGAAGATGGTGGTAAGGGTTGTCTGGAGCTGTTGTGGATGTTGATGTTGTTGTCGTTGTAGGAGGAGCTTTGGGACCGGTGAGTGCCTGGATGATCTTCATCAGGTGAAGCTTTTGTAGTTCAATCAACTCAGAGTGCACTTTCAGTCTGGCCTCACATTCGATCAATTCCTGGAGTAGAAACAAATTAAGATTCCAGATAAAATTAATGCTTTTAAAACTTAAAGGTTTGAATGAAGAACCATGTTTTAATGAAGGTGGTGAATGTAATTTTTTTCAAATAAATTTTATCTTTAAATTCTGAACGAAAGAGCTGAGAAACTATACCTGGATTTTGTTTATTTTAATTTTTCAGCCTGCAAATATGATATTTACAGGCTAGATGAATTGCTAATAAGACTTAGATACTAACAGAGAATATGCCATAAAAAATGTGCAGCAAATATCTCACCCTTCTTTGAATTTGGTGTTCTTCCTCCAAACGCTTAAGATGACGCACAGCCTCCATGAAAACCTCCGAATCTAACAAATCAAAACGTAAAATTAACTTCAAAATAACTCAAAAGTGGTAAACTTGATCAAAAGTTAAAAAGTTTTCAATTTTTTTTTGAGATATAATTAATTTAATGCTCAATTTGAATCAAACTACGTTTACAATAGCAGCAAAACTTGGGCTTATATACTATTAGAACCTCTCAAAACAAATTTTAGTCCAGTATAATGTGAAAACCTTGCCACCTTTGGAGAAGGGTTGTGGGTAAAACCGGAAAAAGACAAAATCTGTAATGCAATTTTAAAAAAAAAAGCGAACGAGTGAAACCAATTTGCACCTTGAAATCTTGAGATGCCTTCAATGTCGACCGCAGAAGAACTTTGCTGATAGCTCGCATTTGACGTCCCACTGCTACTCGCTATGTTTTCCGAACTGGGTCGCAACACTTCTTCGTCGTTTCTCCGAGACCTCTTTGGCTGTTGGGAGTCGGCCAGAGCTAGCACACTTGGAGGCAACCTTCGTTTCTTCTTCGGTAGTCGAGACTCGTCGTCTTCGGCCGAAGTTGAAGCTTCGATTTTGATGTCAGCCGAGTTTGTCAACTTTGGAGTCTAAACAAATACGATGTCAGCTGAGTTAAACTATATTAAGAATTTTCACAGGAAGACCTCGGCATCGCTTCTATGATTTAAAAACCGAAAAATGGTTAGGAACATTGTATTCGGGTGTGTTTTAGTTTTTTCTTTTTTTTCCGCGCAAAATCAGGTGCCACAAATAATCACCTTAAAGCCCTTTCAGTCGTGATACTAAAATTTCAAAAAGTGGACCCAGTATTGAGAAAAATAGGTTTAAAACTTTTGATTTTGAGTATTAATTCCGGCGAATAAAGTGAGCGAGCAGGCTTACAATAGCTTAATACAGGGGCGGATCTAGGATTTTCTCGAGGAGGGGGGCGGATTTTCAAAAAATTTTGAAAATTTTGTCAACCTTTTTTTTTAGGTCGACCAAATTGATTTTCCGAGCTCTCCCAAAGCACTAAAAAGATCAAATTTTTTGCGCCGCAGGCAAAATTTTGAAAAACAGGCCAAAAAGGCGTTTTTAGGCACTTTTTGGAAACATTTTAGCAAAAAATCGCTTTTTTTCGGCGCGCGCTCCCCCATCAACATTAGTATACATTGGCGCCGAGGACGCCTTTAGAAAAATTTAAGGTCCATCACCAAAAACGGAGATCTCAAAATAGTACAAAGGGGGGACCCTTTGTGTCGGCAGGGTGTCGAATCCCTGAGGAAAGGAAGCGTCCGCAGTACCCCCCCCCCCCCACGCCCCCCCCCCCCAAATCCACCCCTGGCTTAATAGCTTAATTTAAGCCGTGAAAAACTTCAAATTTACTTGTCAAGTTACTTCAAAAACTCACAAAGCTGCAATTTTTATAGAAAAATCACTAGAAAAACAAAAGACAAAAAAAAATCGAAAATTTTTTGAATTTTTTTTTGATTTTCTAGTCATTTTTCTAAAACAACTTGTTGTTCAATTTCCTTATTATACTTTGACTGTCGAATATGATCAAGCTCTAGTTTTTCGTTCAGATCCTTTTATCGCAGAAAAAACTATACTAATTTGAAAAAATTTTGTTGTATTTTTTAAGACTAGGGTCGGAACATTTTGTGCTACTTGCTCAGTAACTGGCTATCCTTGTTACTTTTTAACGTTGGCCTGTCATCTTTTAAAAAAATTTCTTCTAACTCTTTGTTCTTCTACATAATATTAACAATTATTATTTTTTCTTATTATAAACTAACTGCTATTCTGGGTGACGGTGAAGCCGATGAAGCTGGCGTTGTCTGCGCACTCTCAGGAAGATGTGAAAGAACTTCAGCTTCTGGAATGTTTTCAGGCTGGTTGAAAATTGAACTGAACACCTGTGGTGCCTGAAAGCATCTTTGATGTTGGGAGCCCTGGAGAAAGATTGCATCATTTTGGGCATGATCACTCCTGATTTGTCTGTTGTACGCGTCCAAAATGGCGATCACAGTTTCCAATGGCAAAGCATGAAGAGGAAGCTCCGCTGACGTCAGCACAGGTCTCTGATTGGTTGAAATATAGCGAGCGGTATGATTGGCTACTGCCTGTGCTGTTGGTGCCGTGAGTAACCAATTAGCGTTTTGGAATGTTCTAGATTGTTCTAGTTGATTTTGAGTTGAGTGGATGTGTAGTTGTGGCTGTGCAGTGGACATAGTAGGAGCTACTGCAGCAATACATTTGCCAGATGCTGTTGTATACTCTAAAATATCACTGAATTGAAAAAAAAAATTAAAAAAATTAGATATGAAGGTAATCCCTTTTATTAAATGAATTGAATGCACAGAGGCGGTTAAACCTATTAAGGTTTCGGTTTCAAATTTTATAGCATCGAGTCTTTTAACCCTTGTTGTTCCCTCATTATTTTCTGTCTATGGAACTGTAACAAAGCATGGAAGAGCTTACAGTCCTTAGTTATTGTGTATCCATAGTCCATAGAGTGTATCTTATACTCCATACAGCTTAAAGCCTATTTAACTTTTTTCTTACTGGTATTAAAACGAACTGCCTAAACCGCGTGTTTTCGATGCTGTGAGAAGATTTTGGATTTTTTTGAAGCCCGAATCACCATTGGAATGCTTTTATAATGCGAATTTAATTATTGCATGGATAAAACACGTCCAAAATCAGCAAGTCTCCTCACTACGTCTGGGACAGGATAATTTTTTTTCACTATTTTTTCACTACAAATTCACTTAGTTAAATCATCTATTCCTAAAAAAATCAACTTACGGGGTGAAGAAATATTCTGATTTGCTGGCAAAGCAGAACCGTTCGATTGCAACACCTGAATAAGAAAGGTAAATATTCAAGAAATTATATGAAATGACAAAATTTGAAAATTATTTTTAAAAGAGTTAAATTATTATGTACCTCTTTCATTCGATCACAAGTTTCGTGCTGCTTGCTTCCGGTTTGACCCATGTTCGACTATTGGTTTTAAAACTGGTTTGTCAAATAAACTCAAACACGACCAATAGAGTTCTGGTAACGCGAATAGCTAATTTATTGAACAATAACCTCCAAAGATTTATTGTTTTTCGGCTATTATGACTCCAAATAACGGGACTTTAACGCCCTATATAAACAAATATCACGCCGCAAACTAATTCAGGTTCGGAAATGTGAACTTTCCAAATTCTTCAAAACCCAGGTAGGGTTCAAAGGGTAAACCACCAGAACAAATCTATCTTGGGATGGCCAGTCAATTCAGTTGTACTTTACCATACAGCTATGAATGGTCAAATTTTGACCCCAGACACGAATACATTTTCAAAATTTACCATCTAAACAGCGGTTAGCTCTGTGATCTTAACTTTTCTTTGGACATTTGATCTATTTGAGTTCATTTTCGCACCATTATGGGCCGATCTGATTGAGTCGAAAACACAAAGCATTCGACAATTAGAACGGATATTATGTAATACTTTGCGTTACTTTTGCAGAAACTTTGAAAGTCAATCATCTCATTGATTCCATTTTTTGATAGCTCCACTTTGTCTGATGAAATAACTCGGGTGTTAGCTAAGCTTTTCGCCGGTCAGCTTTCTGAGTTTTCGATGATTTGAGCGGTAAATTACAGGATCGAAAGGACACGCCGCCTAATCTCTAGAACTGGGTTCGCTTTCTTTGTTCGAACGAACCCTTATTTGGGCTTGAATTGACAGACTGGTTGATTTATCGTCAACTAAGTTAACTAACTCACTTTCATCACTACTTCGAAAACCCCAAAGTACAAGGGTCACAAATGTGACCTTAATGAATTATTTCAAGCGTAACGCAAGTCAAGAGATATGATACGTTGTCTTTATGATTTGGAACCTCCTTTACCTTTGTTGAACAAGGGTGTTTCTTGAATTTTATGAATAACTCTGGGAGACACAAGTGGCGTATCTTGTGATTAAGCAAAAAGCCGACCAATAGTGTCTCGACTTTCTCGACAAATAAAAAGTTTTCCAAAACTTATTTGATCCATCTCAGATTCGTTTCAACCGGCGTGAAGAACAAAATAGTGAATCGGCAAACGCAAATCAAACAAGACTGCTCGTATCAGGGCGAAGCCCTGAATGTTCCGACTGATTTTTAAGGTCTATGGAGTAGTAATAACGTGAAAAAAATGAATGTAGTAAAATAAAACATTTTTTTTTAATTTGAGATTTTTAGAGAAACTTATTCCCCCACATGCCATGTAAATTACAGAGTGATAGATCTCGCTTCTAGTATCAAATCAAATATGGCAATTAGGCTTCCTTTGACCAATTGGAGCGGTTTCTAAGTTGGATTACTGTGTCTGTACAAAACAGTCCGATACAAAACAGTCCAATACAAAACACTCCAGAAAAGTATGAAAATTAACGAAAAAACAGTCCGATACAAAACAGTTCGAAAAACAGTCCCAAGTGAAAATAGTTTAAACAAACCGGTAGGCCGAGAATTGTCCTTTGTTCAACAAACATAAAGAACAAAATAGTGACTGCCGCAGTCGCGCCAACATGATGCGAGCTTGCCAACAGAGGGTAGGACTTAATACAAGATTTAGAGCCGGTTATCAACGTAAAGCGATGACGCGCGCGCAGCGCGCATACCAGCGACCTTAAACCGAACTGTTTTGTATTGGACTGTTTTTTCCTTCATTACATTATTATGATTTTTACTATTTTGTATTGGACTGTTTTGTATGGGACTTTTTGTAAATGCACCAAAAGATCTTAGGTCTAGAATAGGTCAATCGATATCCTTGAAAGTGCTGCTTGAAAAATTCGCTTTTTAACGACACCGCATTTTCCAATTAACAGTAATTGTATCTTATTATACATAGATGATCTGAATTACTAATTAGCAAATTAAATGGGAAGTTTTCTATTCTAATAAGCTAATGGATTTTGTCAATCAGAAGAATCGATATACAGATTGAAATCAAGGCGATTATATTTGTGAAATTCTGGCACAATATTTCAAAACTTTCTCTAAAACTGATTTTTTTTTCATTACAGCAAACAGAAATAATTTTAAAGCACTAAACAATTTTCTTCGTTTCAAAAACAAAATAATTGAACTCAACTCTTCCTCTAATACATTGGAGTCAAACATGTTCAGTTGATAGTTTGTAAAAATTCAAAAATTAACGTATCAGCAGGAAAAAAGTATGCTTAAAAGTTTAAGTATGCTTAAAATATTTTAAAACGTTACAATATGTCAAAGTGCTAAAATAGACGAAATCTTTCTAATAATTACGTGGTTTTTGAGCATCTTCTTGACGGAAGTATCAAATCGTCTATCAGCCTTTTGGTATAATTACGCTCCACGCGAACCACCATCTACAATATGTAGCTACATTAGCTAACCGAATCTCATATCCTCTGACAACCTCGTTTGAAAAAAAACAAGACTTCTCGTATCAGGGCGAAGCCCTGAATGTTCCGACTGCCTTTTAAGGTTTATGGAGCAGTAATAACAAAAAAAAATAAAATGAAATAATATAAAATGAAATTTTTTTTTCTAAAATTTGAAGATTTTTTATGAAAATCATCCCCCCACACGCCATATAAAGTACAAAAGGATAGATTTCGTTCCTTGTAACAAATCAATTATGGCAAATAAGCTTCTTTCAACCAATTTGGAACGATTTCTAAGACGAATTAACTCTCCGCTTACGCGTTAATAGTGCAAAATATATCGCGCGTTAATTGTCCCAAATTGGCAAAAATGGCAATTTTTAAACCCCCCCCCCAACTTTACGAAAAATGTTCACAGGTCAAATTTAAGCTCAGGATAGCAATACCTTTTGAATGATATAAAAAAAATCCGTCAAAAATGGCTAGTTAAAAAGTCGAAATTTGTCTGAAGAAAAAAAAACCCACCCCGAGCACCAATATTCCGTTACTTTCGTATCGAAAGTCGGAACAACAAATTGGGCAGTAAAAACTTGCTGTAACTGACCTAAATACAATTACTCTGTAGGTATGAAGATTTAAAAATCATTTTGAATATTCGTTTTAAGACGAGAATTTTCTAAATACGGCGAATTAAAAATACGTCTTCATGCAGCAAATTACGCCACTTGTAAAGAAAACTTAATTTTATAAGAGCTGACCATTAATGAACGACAGACAAGGTTGCAAAGCAAATTGAAAATAGCTTGAAAACGCGTAGCAAATAAAAAAAGTTCACAAAAACATTTCAAGACTAAAGTAGAAGTTTTAAGGTTTTATAAACTTCTGTGAGCGATATTTTTCCCCACAATCTTCACTTTGAATATAAGACTGTGGAAATATATAAAAAATTTGATAACGAAACATTTTTTGTAATTTCATCGATTCTCTTGCTTACTCCTGCTCTTCAAAAAAAAATTACTGTAAGTTTGTTGATCTATTAATCTACCAAACTCCAGTTTACAGCTTTGGTTTATAATGAGTTTTTTAAAGAAAAAAACTCTTATTCTCATGCCGCACAGTGTGGAGGGAAAATTCTGATTCATTTTCCAAAATTGTGCTCTAATTAGACGCCTCATCGATGAGTTTTAAAAGTTATGCTCTAATTATCTTGCCATTCCTCCAAATTTTTCAAATACTTACACATACAAAAAAACTAACAAAAAATGTTATGTAATTTTTTCAATTTTACTCCTAGCAGATAAATTTTCGGCAAATAATGGAAGTCAGTTTAATATCGCTAATTATTCATAATTGATAAACATATTTTGTCAACAAAACAGTTTGGCACTTGTAATTTTAGGGTTAAAAAGAAGAAAAAATAAGACTGATTTATCAGGGCAAAGCCTCGAATGTTCCGAGTGCATTTTAATTTCGATGTAGTACAGTTCGGATTCAAAACGAATAGAACTTGAAACTTAAAACGCGTTTTCTTAAAATCGGGTTGAATGTAGACAAAAAAGATGATGAGACAAAACTCGCTTAGATTTTCAGGGAAATTAATTTACAAAATTCGGGTCCAAATTTCAACCACAAAATCCATGACCATGATCATTCACTCACATGATGTTTTTGCGTTTTTTTAGTCGATCAACAATTACACCAAAACTATTGTTTCATTTGCCGAAACAAATATATCAAAGTGAGCCTCTTCTGTACTCTAAGAAAATTTCGAAAGTTAGAATTGTCTCAGTTTTGTATAAAGAATTTTGTTTTCGTTGAAAAGCCAGAAAATACCGTTTTTTATTTGACGTCAAGTTTCAAACGTTTTGGGTTAATTTTTGGTATTATACTCTTCTTTGTTTGAGCATACAAGAGGCTTAAATTGATGTCTTTTTGTCAGCAATAAACCCGATGGTTTCAGCGTAAATTTTAAATAAAAAAAAATTTATTCTTTTTTTTACAATTTAAGGTAGAAATTTTACAACCGAGTTTCTCAAAAAAGCAAATAACAACATCAAAATTCTGCTAAAACCCTAGGCAAGTTTTGTGTTCAATTTTTGTTTTGACACAATAGTTTAAATGAGCTTTAACATACTTGATGAAAATTTGAAGAAAAAAATGAAAAACTACAAAAAAAAAATTTAAGATTTTTTTGAAAATCATCGCCCCACTCGCTATGTTGTAAAATACCCGGTGATATTATTTGCGAATAGCAAGGTTCTGAAAGTATTGAAGAGTTCTAGTTTGGAACGATTTTTGAGACAGATTAATTATCCGCTTAAGCTTAATAGCACAAAATATATTGCCCGTTTTCCCAAATTCGCCAAATTGGCTATCTTTAAACCGCCGTAAAATTACAAAAAAAAGATCACATTTGACAAAGGGGCTGATCTAGGATTTTCTCGAGGGGGAGGGCAGAATTTCAAATAAATTTCAAAAGGTTTGACAATCTTTTTTTTTTCAGTTCGACCAAATTGATTTGTCGAGCTCTCCCAAAGTCCCTGTTTTGGCCAAAGTTTCTGTGCCGCAGGCAGATTTTAAAAAACGGCCAGAAATAGCGTTCTTTGGCACACACTCCCCCTTAGTGTTAGTATATTTTGGAGCCGAAGGCATTTTTAGAAAGTTTTTAAGGTCCGTCTGCCAAAAATGGATGTCTCAAAAGAGTACAAAGGTGCAACCTTTGGGTCGGCAGGGGGTCGAATCCTTGAGGGGGAGGAGTGATCGCCCCACCCCTAAATTCGCCTCTGAGTTGACATATCTTTTTAAATTCGAGCTCAGGACAACAACACTTCGAGCTCAGGATATCCAAAAAGTTTCCTTCAGCAAGTGTTATATAAAAAGTCCGAAGTTCCTGGGGGAAAAAAAAAACACTCGAGACCAAAGAATCTGTGACTTTTTTTCAAAAAAACGGAAAAAATGGCTGCAATAAATTTGCAATCAATGAGAGCTTATAAGAGTTCATCTGTCTGTTTTGTGAGTTGAAAAGCAGAATTTAGCAGAAAAAAAACTAAAAATTTTATTCATTTAAACAAAAGTTCCGGATCTTTTAACTTTCCTTACCTTATGGTACATTAAAAGAAGTATCCTAATGCGACAGTTAGGCTTATAAGAACAAGACCTTTTAACGAATCGCGAATTATCGAAAGGAGGATAGCTCACAATAATCAAAGCTTTAGTTCATTCATAGATAGTTTCGATGGGTGCCGGACATCACGCCGACGGGACTTGAAGCCCAATTGTAAAATTAGGGACTTCAAGCCGAAAATTTTCTCATTAAGTCATGAAATATGATTAATTTGAAAACTTTTTTGAAGAATTTCTCAATTTCATGATCTTTCTCCAATTGTTATTGGCGTTTTCAAAAATTTTAAGCCTCCGAATGATGATAAGGAAAGTTGAAAAATAAAACATGGCCGAAGACGATTTTCTTGTTTATAAGCTATGCATTTCAAAAACCGGTTGATTTTATTAGCGGATGCCAATCCCAAGTGATTCATAGTCATGAATAAAGCTTCGTATGGACTAAACTTGCTTACAATTTTGAAACGCAACGTTTTACAGATGATGAAAATAGTGATTTGAAGTGCTTGTAAAGTTTAAATTTCGGCCTGAAGTCCCTTCGGCTTGAAGTCCCGTCGGCTTGTTGTCCTAGACACAGTTTCGATTGAGTTAAATCATTTGCAAAATGTGCACAAAAAAACCTTAACTCAAGTCAAAGTTTAGTAATTAACTCTATTGTTCAGATAATTGGAATGCAGCCTGTATTTAGACAACTGCGTATTCATACTCGTCAGTATTCAGACAAATACTGTATGAACCAATCAGAATCAAGAAAAGACATAAACAATCCAAAAAATTCATAAAAGTTTTTTTATCAATTTTTTCTTTGTCTCGATTCTGATTGGTTGAAACAGTATTTGTCTAAATACGGACGAGTCTGAATACGCGGTTGTCTAAATACTGCTATGTAACCAGATAATGGAACAATAAGTCTTCTTATGAGAATGATCGACGTGGAAGCAAAAACCGTCAAACACTATTGCCATGGGACAGAAGCGCTTGCGGATTAAACCCCGGCTCAAGGTGCTCAAATTATGTATCGACGTTTTCGACCAAAATCCGTATGTTTTTCCCGTCCCGATCAGTTTTTGCCATGTTTCAATTTTCTCGGCCAATTTTAGGTATTTTCGACTTTTTCAATCCAAAAAAAACAGTGTTCGACTTTGTTCGACCCAGTTAACTTTTCTCGAACAAAATTCGAAAAGTTTTGTCTTTTTTTTAAGTCAACCAAATTGAATTTCTGGGTCTTATGCGTTAAACGGCCCAAAATTAGTAAAATAGTCAGAAATTTTATTTCAAAATGAAAACACATAATCAACATACAATTACTTCAGTTATTACATATTATACGAGTCAATCAGGATTAATCTCAGTATCAATCGAAATGGCTGACCTAGTTGCTCGAATTTGATTGGCTAATATTAGCCAATCAGGATCAGTTTCAGTTTTAGTTTTCATTTTGTTTCAATTTTGATTTTTGGGCCGTTTAACTCATAAGACCCGAATTTCTGACTCTCAAAAATCACTATACAAGCCGCCATAATTTGACAAAAGTTTCTGCACCGCAGGCAAATTTGCGGAAAAAAAACAGATCAAAAAAAGACTTTTTGTTAATTTTTTGGAAAATTTTGACCCAAAAATCGCGTTTTTTTCGGCGCGCGCTCCCCCTCAAATTTAGCATAGATTGGCACTAAAGGTGCCTCTAGAAAAATTTTAAGGTCAGTCAGCAAAAAATGGATTTCTCAAAATAGTACCAAGCGTTCATCTAATAATACCCTATTTTGAACAAATCTTCTGAGCCGCAGGCGGTTTTTAGAAAAAACCGGCCAAATACCTGTTTCTTAAGCAATTTTTGGAAAGTTTTGACCAAAAAAAGTGTTTTTTTGGCGCGCGCTCTCCTGCCTAAAATTAGTATGTATTGAGGATAGCCTATGGAAACTTTCAGAGTCCATCAGCCAAAAATGAATATCTCAAAATAGTATATCCCATTGTGATTACCGGCTTACTCCGCCCCCTCCCCCCCCCCTCCCAAGTCCGCCCCGAGTTAACCGGTAACCGCAGTTCAAATAATTTTCGGCCAACTTGGGTATTTTCAACCATATCATACGAGGACTTTACCGCATTTTTTGAAATAGCAAAAACAAAAAATTCCGTCTGTATGATCGAAAAAATAAAAAAATTTTTCTAACTTTAGGGTAGGCTAAAGCTATGTTCGACTTATGGGTGTATTTCGACTGTGCTCGACTTAGGTGTTGACTTTCTCGATCGACTATCATGTAACATGATTAAATTGTCATAAACTGTCAAGTTTTTTATGCATGCTTTTCAGTTGATATTTTGTGATGATGCTTGAACTGAAATTGAGCTATTAATCAGTTAAATGCGAACTTTCTTCATCAAAACTTTTTGTCACTTTTAGTCTTCCAATTTCATTTATGTTTTCTTTACAAAACTGGAGTGGATCTGATCGTCCGAAAACTGATAATTGGTAGAATTTACTTTTTCTTGCCGCAGTACCCTTAGATCTCAAAAAATTATAGAGCTCGCTCTAAATTTTTTAGTTTTTTGGTAAGCAAATAACCTCAACTGATTTTTTGGTTGTAAGTTTTTGGTTGAGGTGTTATCTGAGCAGATTTTTTGCTAAGTTTCTATATAAAAAAAAATTTCAAAACAAAGTTTTGAAAAAAAAATTTGAATCAAGAATATTTCAACTGTGCTCAACCTAGGTTTCATTTTTTTCTTGACTGATAATAAGAAATTTTCGACTGTGCTCGATTTATGTTTCAACTTTCTCGACCGAAATTGGGTGTGTTTTTTCTTTGTGATCGACTTGTGGCCCTCTACCCGGGTCCCGCTGGGATTAAATCACCCAGAACAAAAACCCGCGTGTTCAAAATCGCCCACGACAAAATCCCAGAACAGCAGATGATTATTATAATGGTGAACAGCGGGAATTGATGTTGCAAACTACAAAGAGGAGAGTGGATAAAAGAAATTGACACATACCAAAATGCACAAAAAAAAATCCTTTTTTGATGGTGGCTACTTAAGATTTAGCTGGTTTTTCAGCTTTACGGTTGAAAACCTGGTTTTTTACTGCTACTTCGATTTTAATGTTCAAACATCAGTTTTGAGGCGAGAAAAACTTGTAAGCGAAATTCAGTTTGCAATATCGAGAAACAAAGTTTGCAAACATTATTTTGTTTTCAGATTTAGAATGATTCAAAAGTTGAGGAAATACTTGAATCGATTATAAGTCAGTCAGACTGGTACTAGAAGCCGCTGAATTTTCATTTTGCTCAAATTGTATTTCACAGGTTCGCCCATTGCCAGCTGTTTTAGTAATTTTCCGGTGACAGGGGCCATTTTGAATCCATGTCCTGAGAAAGCAGACCCGACCACTATATTCTCAAAGCCAGGCAGTTTGTCCAGAACAAAGTGGTTGTCCGGCGATACCTAAAAATGCTTGAATGAGACAAGCCAATTGAAAATACCATTTAAATTTAACTAAGGGAACTTCATGGAATAATTTTCATACCCTATGTATGTGCAGCAGTTGGTATAAATGCCTTTCGAAATACAAAAAATCGGAAAATTAAATGGAATATTCTAAAAATAATCACAAAAAAATTATCAATTAAAATGAATCAAAAAAATTAATCAAAATAATAATAGAATTCATTAAATTACTCTGTGAGTAGATCTTGAGCAGATTTCATTAACGAAACGAAATTTAATTTTAATCCAAGCCTGAGTTCTGTTTTTTCTTAAATGCATTACTCCATCTTAAATGGTTGATTTATTACTTAAGTTTGATATTTTTTTGCCAATACGTTATGCAGTTCAATTATCTGAGTTTAAGTGTTTGCAAATAGAATGAATATAACAACTATGAAGTGCATACCGTGTATAAGCAATGATCTATAAATTCTGGCTCTGGATGCAAAAACGGAAACTTCTGTTTCACAGCTTCCTGCAAACAGTCTATGTCTTGCTTGATCGAAACCCTTCTCTCTTGGTCTGTCCTTTTACTGTCTTCGGGATCTTCGATCTCATGGCCATGGTGCAAAAGGAACTGAAAATTGGAAAAATAGTGTTTTTTTTGTAAATTGTCTATAATTTAAGAGAAGGACTAAAAAATAAATTAGCGTATCACCCGGGCCGATCTTTTGTCCAGAACATTACGACTGAATTTCGGCATTCCCAGACTATCGCAGCCCAAATTAGGCAGCCGCTACCAAAGTTAAGAGTTTTCAGACTAAGTAGCTGGTCGGTTGGCGACCGGAGCGACTAAAAAAGTATCCGCGACCGACTCGGCCGATAGAAAAATTCTAAAAGTCCGTGTACATAAAAGTCCGTGAACTGTTTCAGGCTATGCTTGAAACTATTATGCATTAGTGCGATTGAAACGACAAGTTCTAAGTGCGACCGAGGCTAGAATATTGGGCAAAAATTGTTTTCATTGTAATTTTTGAAAAAATCTGCCAGAGATTACAAAAAGATGTTTTTGTTTGAGCAAAAATAAACCAGTGCAGAAAACAGTCAGTTAATGATGGTTTCAGAAAAATGCTACGGGTTGTTTTCTCTCGACACATCAAGTAACAATTTTCGACGGACTTTGTTTTGCGCCTGAAAGATATTGAGTAACTGTACCAAATTGAGTTAGGACTGAAGTGTATAACTCATAGAGTAATTTCGGATAGGGTACACCGTCTGCTCGTCACGCTATCTTATTTTCGGCCGGATAGATTCGTGCAACTTCTTAGTCTAATACCGATCCTAATCTTACTCTTATACTATCTAGTCTCAGGTTGTTTAACTAGTCTCTGCTAGGCTCAATAGATCTAGGGTATACTGGTTTATTGCGGCTGCTGAAGTACTCGGGAGAGTGCAACTAATTTCTAAGTTAAATTCAAATCTCTCTGGTGCTGAAATTACAAGTAATTTCAGCACTTACAAATAAGTGGGTTGTTAGTTAGATGGATCATGATTGGTTAATATTAAATACTTTACATTGGTAAAATATCTAATTTATCCAATCATAAAATGTAGTTTAGATCAGGTTCCACCCATCCGGGTTTTACAGAGTTTTTTAGAACAGTTCTTCTGTAATTCAAAAGATGGATGATGGACGTTGGTATTTGGCGAACATCATAATTTTCTTTCGCTTCTTCTTTGTTAAAGAAGTTCCAGGAAGCTGGAGTTAGGGACATAAGACGTTGTGTTCTTTTTGTGACAACGACTGAGTCTCTGCAACAAAATCAATTCTGGTTTCAGAATGGTTGGCTATGTCAGGTTTTTCTGTTCTTCGAGGAGAACTTCTTTTGTATCTGATCTAGCTTGGGAATAGCGTGGAGATTGTGCGTGGAGGGGATGCCTGGTTTCTCGGATCTGTACGTATACTTGAACATCGAGGTGGTCATTGGTCTAGTTCAATGAAGTCCTTTTCTGCGAGGTCAAGTCGTACTCTAAATCCTTTGAGTTGTGATTGTGAGCGGCATATTGATTGTAGTTGGTCATTCTCTCTCGAGTGTGGTGGGGTCGTTTTGTCTTTTGATGTTCGTCCTTGGTGTTGTATTCTGATCTATGTATTGCATCATGTAATTTACATTTTATAAAACTTTTATTAGTTTAATATTTTTTAATTATGATTTTAGTTAATTGTTTTCACAAAAGCTTTTTGTTTTAGTTCGGTTATTTTGAAGAGTTACTCACCCTTGAGTAGCTCTTATTAAAAATAGGAGTGTGGTCACAAAGCGTGGATGTAGCGCGGTGGGTTAGGCCGGCTATAGAGCATGCTCAGGACGTCCTTCCTGGTGGGTTAGGCCAGGGGTGGAAGTATGATTTCATGCGGTTTTTGTGAGGGGTCCTGTTATGTGACAACGTTTTATGTTGGGTTTGTTGTGGTCTTTCTTATGTCTTGTTGGTTATGTCCTTTTTCCAAAAATCAAATTGTTTGTGGTATGGGTTTGTCTTTCGACTTTTTTGTGTTTTATTATTTCTTTCTGAGACTTTATAATAGTCTTCAAAAGAATAAATTATCCAGTTTTAAACTGGGTTAATCCGGTTTGGGTACCGTTGGTTTCCTTTTCTTAGTCATGCTGTTTTTCTATGATTTGTGGTATTTAGTAAGCTGCGTTGGTTAGTTTTGTTTAGTATATGATTCCTTTCCAACCGGGTTAAAGGAAAGTTTGAAACATGTTATTTTATGTTAGAGTTATTGAGTGTGAAAACTTGAAACTGAAATTCATTATTTTAAACAATTCTTCGTGGGCGAGCTGTGCGAGTGTGGATAGAATTTCTGTGCGAATGAATGAAAATATCAAAAGGTTAGTACTGCATTTGCATTTAATCAATTTACTACATAGAATTTGGAAATTACTGCTAGTTATGGGGGAATTTTAAGTTACAAATTATCATTATAATTAGATTTACTGCTTGGGGGGAAAATTTTATAGATGAATTTACTGCATTGGTATTAAATTTATAATTTATAAGTGTAAGAGATTAATAATAAAATTTTAAAATTGTTTGATGAAATTTGCGATTTTTTATTTTTCTTTTGTGGTTTTTGTAGGTGATTGTCGGATGAAAGCTAAAAATCTAAAGAAAACATGGATAAAGAATGGTGAGTTTTTAATACTGTAATTAGTTAGTAATATTTATTTAATTCATACTTACCTGTTAGTCGTCGGGGAAAAAACCGTGGGGGAAAATGTCGTGAATTAGATCTGAAGTTGTTAGTAGTTTAGCTAAGATGCGGATGATATTTTTAGTCTGAAGTAGTGGCCAAAGCAATTGAAGTGCCTTAATGGTGGTTAATTCTTCAGTGCCAACTGCAAACTCATAAGGTGTGTTTTGGATTAAGTTATATAATTTGTGATTAAATTTAGTGTTGTGGATGAATTCTAATATTGGGATTTCTATAGGTTGTACAAACTCGTGCGGGATAAGGAAGGGTTGGTTTTCGTCGGCGTTGAAGGTCTTGATGATGGGACAGAAGATGTACATTTGGGTTATGGGGTCATAATTACGAAGAATACCATGGAGGTTAGTGTCTTTAATACAATATGTGAAATTTAGGAAATATGGTGAAGTGTATTTTGAATTAATGAATTGAAAACGATGGTGTGGTTGTCTAGAGGGTGTGTAGGTCAAAGTGATTTTGGATGAAACGATAATAACTATATGTGTGGGTTTGTTTAGTGCGCAACATAATATCGTGTGAGCAGTGCAAATCTCTTTCGTGTGGTGCAAGGAAATGAAAGGTTAGTGAAAATATTTGGAAGCGTTCTTTAAAACTTTCGTATGCTTGTGTGTCTGTTAGTGCTTCTGAAATAATGTGGTCATATTTACGGTCGAAGATGTTTAGTGTAAATACATATGGTGTCTTGATGAAAAATTTCTCGGTGATTTGTGGATTAGCGAAGCGATCGTCGTCTAGGAATTGATCTTGGTTAGCTCTGATGATGTTGTGATCGTAGTATTCTAGTGTATATTCATTAGCTCTAGGTGCAGTGTGTATTTTTAGTGATTTCTTATATCCAACGTAAGTAAATTGTCTAGCGGTTAGTGGTGTAGTTAGTCGATATAGCATGTCCTTATTTCGTTCTATATCGATGGGAGTGCTGGATAAAGGTAAGCAAAGAGGGTTAGTGAAATGATAGTATGAGGTCCAAGAGAGAGTGGGCATTAAAACGTATTCATCTACAAAGTTGCGTGTTTCGTTAGTGTCGTGAGGGGTGTTTAAGGTGTATTGTGGGAATGAGGGTAAGGTGATGGCTAAAAATTCTTTCGTGTTAGTATGTTTGGGGTGATTGATGTATTCACGGGCTGTTCCTGGTTTTGCTGGGAAAGGATGGTTGGGGAACTTTCTTTTAAAAGTGCGATAAGCTCTATTAGTGTTGAGTGAAGATATAGTGGATGTGGATGACGGTGTTAATGATTCATTATAATCTGAAGAGAGTGTAGGGGTAGGGGGTTGGATGAATTTATAGTGGAGGAGATTTGGTTTATGGTTGGGGTATTAAGGTGGTAGGGTTGTTGTTGGAGGGTAATAAAATTATCTAGCTCTGGGGAGATTCGGGGGGTGTCGGGAGAATGAGATGATTGGTCAGAATGGTATGAGGAGTAGGTTGGGGTAACTTGGGAAGCATAAGAGGGTGTGGAAGTGATTGGGTCAGGGTTATTGGATAATATGGGTTGAAATGGGGGTTGAGAAAATTTAGAAGAGTTATGAAAATTATTGGATGGGGATGGTTCTGAGTCGGCAAATTCATCGGGGGTTTCAATATTCGGGTTATTGAGTTGTGAGATGGAGTATAAAACTGAGATATGTGAGTTAGTGTCGGAATTCATGCCTGATGTTACATTACTAGATGGGAAATCGGGTGGCGGAAAAGCAAAAAGTGGTATTATTGGGATTGGAGAGGTGAGATTGGTTGGGTGGGAATTTGATCGGTGTAGTGATCCAAGTTATCGGCTCATCGTGGGCTAAAAAAATTATTATTTTGAGACTGAAAAGCGGTGGTATGGGGTTGTTCAATAATTTGTTCATAAGTATTATCATCTTGTGACTGATGTGTCATTATATGTTGGATGGGACTTTGTGATGTGGTGAGTCGAAAATTTGGATTATGTGTGATTGCTAAATTTCGAAAATTTCGTGGGACTAGGGATAGTGGATGGTTATGTGGTAGGGGTGGTAATTGTGGTGCCGTTGGCGTTGTGTCTACATTGTTATGTTCTTCGTCGTATGTGTTTTGTCGTGTTGCTATTTTTGTGTTGTATTCTTTTATTTGTGCGTCTAAAAGAATTTTGTTTATAGATGTGGAAAAAATTCCGAAAAATCCTGCAAAGAGTATGCGTGCTACGCTTGCTTGTCTATTTACTTGTGTGTGTATAGCACATGTGTTGTAGATTCCTTTTAAAAGTGAGAAAAGAAATCCAATAAAGTTACACATTGCGTATAAAATAGTCAATTTTTCTAAGATGTAGTAGGGCCATCCTAGAAAATCAAGGATTTCATTTTTGAGTGTAACAAAACTAAAAATATTGATTGGTGATATATCTTGG